GGTGTCTGGTTACTCCCGGTCAGCCCACGCGAGCTGGGCGAAGGGAGGGGTTAGTTTAGTCCGCTTGCTTCCCACAGCAGTTATGATAACTGGGCCGGCTGCGAGCGAGTGACGCGCCGTGGTTTCGCACCAAACCACACGGCTCATTGATAGTTTGTTTCCCAGCAGGTGAAATTGAAGGACCAGGAGCCCAACTTTGAGCGGGATATACTTATCTATCTAACCGAGGAGAGCAACCTGTCGCCCGCTTCGCCTGCCTGCCCTTCTCCCTCTCTAAGATGTTGCTTTGTGGATGGGATGGCGTCTCGTCCCGTTTGTCTGCGCATTTATAGCCCAACCGGAGAAGCAAATTTAGCCACCCGTGTGTCTCCGTTGTAGCGATTCTGTTCTCCGGTAAGTTTAATTTTCAACTACTTTTCCCGAAACGCGACCTCCGAACTTTTTTTGGGCGGAGAGGGGGGGGGGGTCGCGTGCGTTGGTAGTTATCATATTTGAAGGTCAAACGGGCCAATCACTCATATTTACTGCCTGCATATCGATGCTGTTAGAATGTGAAAGTGGGTTGGATATGACTTTTCTATACCCGGTGACCTAAAACAACACACATATAAAATACACACCACCGTATGCATGCAATGTTGCCCACTTTACGTGTACCCACTTCTAGTGGGATCTGGGACAGCCCTCCTGCCCTGCTGAGGTCCACTGATATTCTGCATAATGCACAAGGTATGCAGCTGACTTGTGTGTGAGAGAGAGACAGCGAGGGGGTGGGTGGAGTGGGGGACGAACTCTGCATGCGGGCCTACGCAGAATGGTGCTCCTGTTTTGTTGAGATTCATCCATCCATCCATCTAACCATCCATCCATCCACCCATCCATTTATCTAGCGGCCATTTGCATGGCTGCATCAAAAATGCAAGACAATTAGCCCGAGAGGAGAAAATATGGCGTTTCATATTGATTTTTGTTGTGACGTGATGGGATCAAATAGCACGCAGTAACCCATTCCAACAACCTTATTTTGCCTATGCAGGGCGGACGGGCAACATTGAGAAGAACTCAATGCTCTTGTGTTAAAAGAAAGAAAGAAAAAAAATCTTTGGCTGATTTGCAGAGAGATTGATAGAATTTGCATTCAACGGTCCTACTTACCATTCCGTGCCAGCTGATGACAAACCTAGTCCAGTTCAAAACATCCTAATGGGAAGCATTGCGGTCATCATGGCTGCAGGGATCCCGAAAATGGGAGACGGAAGTTGCTTTAAAAAAATCAATATATATGCCAAATTAATACAATGATTAAAAAAAAAAAAAAAAAAAAGCAGAAATCAAGACGCAAAGATTAGCTGATGCTGATTCACTCTTCCCCAGCTCACCGACACCTTGCAACCATTGTGCTGCAAGATGCTGGCTGTACCATTGTGCACCGGGAGGGTAGGGAAGGAGGGAGAGAAGGAGGGATGAAGGGATGGAGGGAGGGAGAGGGGAGCGGTTGCCATGGCAACCCGAGAGGAGCTCACGTGACGTCAAAGCCGAGCAGGAGAGGGAGAATGGGAGGGAGGCGCACAGCTAGCCTGCTACCATTCACTTACAATGAAGAGTCTATCTATCTATCTATCTATAATATATCATCATTGTTCCGTGAAACGCATGTATGTTTGTTTGTTTCTTTGTATCTATTACACAAAGAAAATAAGTTTTTGCTGCATTTTTGGATGGAAAAAAAAGACCATTACTGTGAACTTAAGCCTTACAGAGGCCACATCAGTTAAAATCCATCCTATACATCAACTTCACAGATACCGGGAGTTGTGACATGCCACTTTATAAATCAGCTTTACAGATGCCATAATCTGCATGCTTTGATGCATGTTTTTGTTTTGTTTTTTAAAGCAGACATGATTAGCTTTCTACACTGCTTGCCCGCTTCTCACACGCAACTCACAAAGCTGACCTGGACAAACTGTTTGATTGGCTGATGAGTATCACTTGGAAAGAGTTACAATAAATGCCTGTGTAATTCCTGTTTGCTGACAATTCCCAACTGCACTGACTAGAAAATGCGAGCAAGTTTAAATAAGGCTCAAGACCCGAGTCCACATATTGAGGAACCTTGTCCAAGACGATCGACTGCAAGAATCCAGTCAGATTATATCTTCATCAGAATGTGCTGTATTAGCAACTGCGCTGTCTGGCTCCAGACTTCTCTGCAGTGAGGTAAGCTGCTTACAAAAAGTAGTTAAAAGCAGTGCTTGCCTCACGCTGGTGGTCGCTATGCATAAATGATGTGTGGATGTGCCGTCCAGGTTATAGCAAAGCTTTAAATGGGGAGTAAAGTCAAAATGGCCGCCCCTTAAAGTGGATTAAGACAGGTGGCTTTACATTAACTAAATCATGCATCGGTTTGATTTGTATTTTTCAAAGAAATGTGTAAAATATGCTTGAAGCTAAAACATGCTTGAATTTGCACCATGGTTCAGATGTTAACTAAGCACTCTTGGGCTTCGTACAGCTCCACAAGCTGCTCCACCATTTCTGTAGTCCACCTTTGACCATAGGATCATATTTTAGAATAAGCCTATGAAACAAAGTAATCTATGTTTTTTGCTCTGGGTCGCGAAGGGGCAAACTCGGGGCAAACTCGGGACAAAAACCAGTCGATGAAGTGTGTACCAAGCCTTATAAGTGTTAATATACCATTTTTGTTTTATTCGTGACAGGGTGGAATGAGGTCTCCTGACCGCTAGATGGCGACAAAACACAAACAAAACATAACATGCAGTGACAAAGTGGCGACACAAGCGAGGAAGGAAGTATTCGGCTTTCAATCGTTTCCTTATTGCTTAGCTCAGTTCCTTTGAAATGGGAGGCATTAAAAACGGAAGTTGTTGAGTGGAAAAAAAATACAGTAAAATGCCAATTGTAAAAATGTGACATATGTGATTTGCTCACGTTTAATGTTACTATTTGTTCCTCACCGCCAGTGTGTGTGTGTGTGTGTGTGTGTGTGTGTGTGTGTGTGTGTGTGGGTGGTGAGTTTGGGTGCGTGTCTGTGTGTGTGTCTGTGTGTGTGTGTGTGTCGCCATAGTAACACTTAAACCAACCGGGAGGGCCAATGGAGGATTGCGGCAGAGGTGTCTGGTTACTCCCGGTCAGCCCACGCGAGCTGGGCGAAGGGAGGGGTTAGTTTAGTCCGCTTGCTTCCCACAGCAGTTATGATAACTTGGCCGGCTGCGAGCGAGTGACGCGCCGTGGTTTCGCACCAAAACACACGGCTCATTGATAGTTTGTTTCCCAGCAGGTGAAATTGAAGGACCAGGAGCCCAACTTTGAGCGGGATATACTTATCTATCTAACCGAGGAGAGCAACCTGTCGCCCGCTTCGCCTGCCTGCCCTTCTCCCTCTCTAAGATGTTGCTTTGTGGATGGGATGGCGTCTCGTCCCGTTTGTCTGCGCATTTATAGCCCAACCGGAGAAGCAAATTTAGCCACCCGTGTGTCTCCGTTGTAGCGATTCTGTTCTCCGGTAAGTTTAATTTTCAACTACTTTTCCCGAAACGCGACCTCCGAACTTTTTTTGGGCGGAGAGGGGGGGGGGGTGTCTGGTTACTCCCGGTCAGCCCACGCGAGCTGGGCGAAGGGAGGGGTTAGTTTAGTCCGCTTGCTTCCCACAGCAGTTATGATAACTTGGCCGGCTGCGAGCGAGTGACGCGCCGTGGTTTCGCACCAAAACACACGGCTCATTGATAGTTTGTTTCCCAGCAGGTGAAATTGAAGGACCAGGAGCCCAACTTTGAGCGGGATATACTTATCTATCTAACCGAGGAGAGCAACCTGTCGCCCGCTTCGCCTGCCTGCCCTTCTCCCTCTCTAAGATGTTGCTTTGTGGATGGGATGGCGTCTCGTCCCGTTTGTCTGCGCATTTATAGCCCAACCGGAGAAGCAAATTTAGCCACCCGTGTGTCTCCGTTGTAGCGATTCTGTTCTCCGGTAAGTTTAATTTTCAACTACTTTTCCCGAAACGCGACCTCCGAACTTTTTTTGGGCGGAGAGGGGGGGGGGGTGAAGCGTCTTGCTAGCTGCTGTCGTGCTAATGGGAATACGAGTGCTTGAACTACGAGGGGCTACTTTAGACTTGAATATTCATATTTTGAAGTAAAATTGAAGCGTGACAGCAAGGTGCTTTGGTCATATAATCAGATAATTGTTCTTTAAAAGAAGTGGGAAACGAAACATTATCAATGAACACGTTTTAGGTTCGCTCTGCAACTTGGCTCTTTGTGGGGGAAAAACTAAGGATTCAAAGAAAAGAATCTAACAATTACACGTCTGCGGCTTTTTACGGAAAAGGGATTCTTTCAAATATCCCCTTCCCCCTTCATTAGTATTCAACAATTCATTGCCGTTCAATTGGTACAATTGCCCAGGTCAGAGTTCACGAGTGTTTGGAATAGTTGTCATCCAGGTTAAGGGATGCAATTGATGGATGTTCCTGTCTTGAGTGCTCAGAACGTTAAAGTTGGATCCATGGGTGTGTGTGTGTGGGAGGGGGGGCTCATCATGGCAAACCTGTCATTAGCGAAAATGAAGTGCTTGCGGTCAGGTCTGAAAATGCAGCGGAAGTTCTGGATGTGTAGGAAAAAATAAATCTCGGCGTCTTAGATGTTCTGATTTTGAAAAGACCAGAATATGAGTGGACTTATCGTAATACAACGTCACTGACATTGTTTTATAATCGTATCCAAAAGTGTCCATCCATCACTTGTTCTGATAAGGATTGCGGCCTATCCCAGCTGTCCTTGGCACTGGGTGTCAGCCGATCATAGGACACATGCCCTCTATCTTCTACCTCTAATTAGATTTTAAAGAAACCAATGCGCCCGAGGAAAAACAACCCATCAGAGACACATTGCCATGCACTCATAGGCAAAGCCTTGCACAAACTTGAAATTGAGAATTAAACGATCAGGAATATCAAAAGAAGGAATTGTCCTAATCCCAGAACAAAACAAGGTTGTTCATAGAAGCTGCATTTCAGAGGTGGAGGGGCCACAGGCAGCTGAGAGGATTCAGAACTGATGTGGAATTAGCACCACTTCTGCTCGTCAGGTAAGTTTATCAAGATCGCTTTGAAGAGGTATATCTGATGTGTGCCATTACTCAGCATTCGCATTGTCAGATATCTGCTACTTATCAGATATGTATTTACGCGAAAGGGTTCAGACCTGAAGATAATCTTACTCCAATTGTTCCCCCCTATATTTACATTGACATGACACATATCCCAGTTGTGCTACTTGACTGGGAAGAAGTCATAATTGTGTCACTTGAAACATGCTGTGCAAATCCAACCTAACAAAACATGTAGAAGCAGGTAGGCTGTAGTGAATGCAAACCAGCTTGTGGGCTTTCCTTTTTTTTTCTCTGAGTCACCATTTCTTTCTTTTTTTTTTCCCTCAAATTCCCGCTACTGTTTTCTCCACAAGATCCCTGACCTCACAAGACACAGCGACGAATACTCTTAGCAACAGAAATTGAAGTGTAGAATGAGCTGTTTATCCGCAAACCGACCGTTCTTGAATTCCCCTCACATGTTTATGAAAACAGTCCTTGCATCATCTTTTGGAAGTCTCCGTCGTCATCGCTTGTTCCGCATCCGAGGTCCCCGCCGCACTTTCTTCCCAAGTCTCTCTCGAAAAAGCGGTTCACTCAAAGTTTGCGCTTGTTTTCCTGGCGCCAGCCACCTTCAGGAAGAGTTTCACCTCAGCAAATGTCTTTGCCAGCAGAGACCACACTTCTGACATTTGGAGGATACGCACACATTTCCGCTCCAGTCTGATGTGTTTAGAATTATGTTTTGGGACATTGGTGCGGATTCTGGTGTTGCTTTCTGGCAAAGTTAGAGGAATGAACGCCAGAAAATGACCTTCTTTTGGTATGAGTTACAAAAAGTGAAATGGATTGTTTTCAGATCCATCTGTGCGTCGAAGCTTTCAGAGGCAGGAAGGTGGGCGGAAAGGAAATGCTTGGTGCTCAGCATTAGGGTAAAAAGCACTATCACGTTTCCAAGATTAGTTTCTTTTAACTCCCCGTGACTGTGGCCAAGCATCTGAAAGTCGTAGACAAAGGGGTTGTTTACTTTGAGGCTATTTAAACAACAATCTGATCATAAAACCCGATTGTGGATTCATTTGTCTTGAAACAGTTGAAGCCAAATCATTTGAGCAAAGGTGCTGTTTCAGAAACGTGTGTCAAACTGGTAGCCCTTTGCATTAATCAGTACCTAAGAAGTCACTCCCGCTTTTAAAAAAGGTTGGTGGCCCTCGATCTATCACTTACCTTTGCTACCGCACAGTAAATATTCTTTGAAAGAAAACCACTACTGGGCCATCGTAACCACACATTCTTTCAACGCGGCGCAAACTAGTTCATCGTGCACGGTTGGTA